TAGGGTGAGTGCAGGCTGGGACCCCATGATCATCATCTTGGTGGTATAGACCATGATAGGCTCCTAAATAGTGCTGTGTCTGCTGTTCCTGTTTAGGACCTGGGCTCAGTTCTCATCAAAGCAGTCTTGAAGAGGGCCACTGTGGCTCCTGAGGTCATAGTTGGACATGTTTGGGCAGCAGGATGTGGGCAGAACCCACAGCCTATTGTGGGTGCAAGAATTCCCTACTCTGTCCTAGCCTGGAACTGCCAAATGGTCTGTGGGTCAGACCTAAAAACTGATGCCTTGCAGCCCAGCCAGTAGGGGTAGGAGACTCCAGCATTGCGGTTACCAGAGGTGTGGATAGTGTGAGCAAGGCTCCTCACTTGCTTCCTTTGGGCACAGGAGTCCAGGTTGGTAAGACGCATACCATGTGCCAGCCTCACCAATGCTTTTAACAACTATCACATGGGATTACAGCTGAAAATGTAGCCAAACAATGGCAAGAAATCAGGACAAGGTTGCAGTCCCAGAACGGGACAGAGAGAGCACAGAAAGACGGCCATTTGGACAGATTTTACCAATTGTTGTGTCTTCGAGAAAAGGACTTATTGAAGTTAAAACGGATGAGTTTCCTCACCACAGGAGCAACACAGAGGCCCTGTCCAAACTAGGGCCTTTCTTATAAACGGAACGGATCAGTCACGCCAGCCAATGCTGCAGGAATAATGATGGTGCTGCCGCCGGGGTTCTTGTGAAGTCAGAAGCTGGCGACTGTGGGCTTAGACGTCTAGTACGGATAGTTTCCTGGTCACACACAGTTGTGGAGCTTTCCATTGTGGGAACAGGACCAATTCCAGCAATAAAACAGCTGTTACAAAAGCAGGCTGGTCACTGGAGGATGTTGACATGTTTGAGATCCATGAAGCCCTTGCAACTATGTCTGCTGCAATAGCTAAAGGACTTGGCTTCAACCCAGAGAAGGTCAGCTTTCAAGGAGGGTCATGGCCTCCAGAGACCATGTCATCCTCCTGGAGCACCTGGTTGTCACATTCTGGTTATCCAGTTACAGACATTGGAGAGAACCAGTGGACCTCATGGCATTGTGGCCCAGTGTGTCAGGAATGGAGTGGGAATAGCAATGTGTGTTCAGAGAGGGTGAGGTCTTAAGAATTAATCAAGCCGGCACTGCGGCTCACTAGGCTAATCCTGTGCCTTGAGGCGCCGGCACACCGGGTTCTAGTCCCGGTCGTGGCGCCAGATTCTGTCCCGGTTGCCCCTCTTCCAGGCCAGCTCTCTGCTGTGGCCAGGGAGTGCAGTGGAGGATGGCCCAAGTGCTTGGGCCCTGCACCCCATGGGAAACCAGGGCTCCTGCCATCGGATCAGCACAGTGCACCGGCCACAGCGCGCCGGCCGCGGCAGCCATTTGCGCCGTGAACCAACGGCAAAAGGAAGACCTTTCTCTCTGTCTCTCTCTCTCTCACTATCCACTCTGCCTGTCAAAAAAAAAAATAATAATAATAATAAAAAAGAATTAATCAGGCCTCCACTATACTTGAGCCTCATTTCTTTGTAAACTAATAAGACCAAAGTGAGGATAGATACCGTTTTCTACTTCATAAGAACTCAAGTTAACAACTCGTTGTTTTTTAATATGTAATCTGAGGTATAAGACAATTCCATCTAATATTGTTATAAATAAAGGAGAAATCAAATCAATTTTAAAAAAGCAGTAGAGGATGGCCTTGGGCCCCTACTACCCACATGAGAAACCAGAGTGCTCCTGGGCTTTGGCCTGGCCCAGCATTGGCTATTGCAGCCATTCAGGAAGATCCCTCTGTCACTCTGCCTGTCAAATACATAAAAATAAAGTCCTTTTAAAAATTATTTATGGGGGGGGGGGGGCAGTGCTATAGCGCAGCGGGTTAAAGCCCTAAAGCGCCAGCATCCCGTACTGGCACTGGTTCTATTCCCAGCTGCGCCTCTTCCGATCCAGCTCTCTGCTATGGCCTGGAATAACAGAAGATGGCCCAAGTCTTTGGATCCCTGCACCTGTGTGGGAGACCAGGAAGAAGCTCCTGGCTCCTGGCTTTGGATTGGTGCAGCTCCAGCCATTGCGGCCATCTGGGGAGTGAACTAGCAGATGGAAGACCTCTCTCTCTGTCTCTACCTCTCTCTGTAACTCTGTCTTTCAAATGAATAAAATAAATTTAAAAAAAAAAATTTTTTTTTTGAGAGCTGAAAGATAAAGAGCTGTTACCAGCCGGTCTACGTCCCAAGTGCATGCCTTATCCAGTGAGGCTGAAGTCAGGTTTTCCATGTGAGTGGCAGGAACCCAATCACTTAAGCCATCACTTAGGGTCTGACTTAACAGAGAGCTGGAGTCAGGAGCCAGAGCCTGGAGTGAATCCGAATACTCCAGTATGGGATGCAGGCATACTGACCAGCTTCTTAACTGTTGAGCCAAATGCCTGTCCTGCCATAGATCACCATGATCAACTGGTAAACCAATTCCTTCCTTAATGAGCAGAAATATTTTTTCCACTTTAATATTTTAAATAATCAGCAACATAATTTTAGAAGTTAGTTTTTTGCTAAGTTTATATATATGTATATGTATGTGTGTATATACATATTTATACACACATATACACACACACACATATATATATGATGTAAGAAACACTGCATGTGGCTTTTTGTGAGTGGAAAAAGGTCCTGAAGCTCAGAGGGTTAGGGTTTTGATCATGGAGATAACTAGTGATAAAGAGCACACTAAATCCTCCCTGTTCTGACTTTGGAACACCATTCTAAGAACGTCTGGCTGAGTGAGAATCCTTACAAAACAAGGTCACTGAGCTGAGAAGAAAATGCTATATGAACAGGCTATGCCTCTAGCATAGTGGGTTTTAACTGGGGTGGTTTTGCCTCCAGAAGACATTTGGCATTATCTGGAGACACTTTTGTCTTTTTGTTGTTGTTAGAGATTTATTTATTTGAAAGTCAGAGTACAGAGGCGGGGGGGGGGGGGCGGGCGGCGGGGAGACAGAGATCTTCTATCCACTGGTTCAATCCCCAAATGTCTGCAGCGGCTAAGACTGGGCCAGGACAAAGCCAGGAGGTTCATCTGGTCTCCCACATGGGTGCAGGGGCCCAAGCACTTGGGCCATCTTCCACTGCTTTCCCAGGCCATTAGCAGAGAGCTGGATTGGAAATGGAGCAGCCAGAACTCGAACTAGCGCCCATATGGGATGGGGGCACTACAGATGGTGGTTTAACCCGCTGCCCCACAGGGTCAGCCCCACTTTTGTCTTTTTTACATGTGGGGGTAAGAGTACTGGCTGGCATCTAGTGGGTAGAAAGTAAGGATGTTGCTAAACATCCTAAAGCATGTAGGATAACCCTCACCACAAAGAGTAGTCCAGCCCTGAATGTCAGTAGTGCCGAGGTGGACAACTGCTATAGTTCTTACTTCACAAAGCTTTGTTAAGTGGATACTCACCAAATACTGCTGTTGGGGATTAGGTCGTAGCACCAGTGAAAGACGGACATTTTGAACTTCTTATTTGTGCTTTCCAATTTGTCAATCAGTAGACTACAGAAGATATGGAGGGAAAATATTTTATGAAGGCCATCCTTTGGGATAAGGGTCGGGGTGGGGGTAAGCAATGCTAGCAGCCTATTTAAAAGACACAAGCAGGGTGGGCCTTTGGGGCAGTAGTTAAGGTGCAACTTAGTATGCCCATATCCCATATTGAAATGGCTGGGTTCGAGTCCCAGCTCTGCTTCTAATTCCAGCTTCCTGCTAATGTACAATTGTGGGAAGCAACAGATTCCTGCCACCATCTGGGAGATCCAGATTGAGTTCCGGGCTCCTTTGACCTGGCCCAGCTCCAGCTATTGCAGGTAACTGGGTTGTGAACCCGTAGATGGAAGAACTGTTTTTGTACCTCTGCCTTTCAAATATATAAATGTTAAAAACAAAAAAGATCACAAGCAGATTGCCTTTCTTAAAAAAAAATCATTGAAAATATTGGGGCTGGTGCTGTGGTGCAGCGGTGTTAAAGCCCTGGCCTGAAGCGCCGGCATCCCATATAGGCGCCGGATCTAGTCCCGGCTGCTCCTCTTCTGATCCAGCTCTCTGCTATGGCCTGGGAAAGCAGTAGAAGATGGCCTAAGTCCTTGGGCCCCTGCACCCGTGTGGGAGACCTGGAAGAAGCTCCAGGCTCCTGGCTTCAGATCAGTGCAGCTCCGGTCGCTGCAGCCACCTGGGGAGTGAACCAGTGGATAGAAGACCTCTCTTTCTCTGTCTCTACCTCTCTCTGTAACTCTGTCTTTCAAATAAATAAAATAAATCTTTAAAAATCATTGAAAACATGACTTTAATTAGTAATGTGCATGCTGAATTGATGCCTGCAACTTACTTTGAAATGCATTATATTAAGAGGGATTGATGGAAGGTGGGATGGATAGATATGTAACAAAGCAAATATCGTAAAATCTAGTGAGGATTCGTTTTCTGTATGTTTGGAATCTTTCATAAAATATTGGGTGTAAGTCACAAGTAGAGATTCACCCCCTTCTTAGAGTCTGTGGGTTGGTGGAAACTGCATTTTCTGACTGCTGGGCAACCTCAGACTTACCTCCTTTATTTTCAACTGTACAGCCATTGTTTGGCTTGAATGAAATACTAATGCTCTGACATTCAAATGAAATCATGTGAAAGCACTTGGGAAAGCATAAAGCATTCTAAAGGTATGATATGTTACAATTAGGAAGGGTAAATATTTGACCAACAATAATGCCAATGACTCTAGGTGTTCTTGACAACCCAGTGATGACATTAACATTGCTTTACCTTTTTGTGGTTTTAACTATAAAACACTTAACCATTACCATAAGAATTTGTCAAGTATTCCTCAAATAATTGTGAAAGATTTAGATTCTTATATCTGATTTCTAAGAGGCATGAATCATCCTATCTTTGTATGACTTTAATGGTTTTTCTTGTTTCCTTGTAGACGGCCAAGATTTCCATGTAGGGCAGTGGGAATCTGTGGAATACTGGGCAGGAGCTTTGCCATTGGCTGGTCAGGAAGGAGGTGGCAGAATGTCTGCATTGTTACACCATAGAGTTCAAACTTCAGAAGACTTTGGGTTATGCAGTGTCATTTACTCTGCAGGTGATTGTGCCTTTGCCTGTCCCGTCTGATCATCACAAACTAATGAAACACCTGTAGGTCCTATGAATGCAGGTTTTCCAGATGCCCTGGCAGCTGGCACAGGTAGGACTGGACTGGGTTTTACGGGGAATGATGAAAGGGAAAAAAAATAATCTTTCCTGTTCTCTAGTCTTTGCTAAAGTTAAACATCTCTGCATGTAAAAATTAGGTGAACTTAACTTCAGTTGTTATATAGGGTCAAACCTGGAAAAATGTTTTGGTGGTTACAGTGGGACTTTAAAAACTGTATAGAGAGGGGGGCTGGTGCTGTGGCATAGCCAGTAAAGCCGCCACCTGCAGTGCCGGCATCCCATTTGGGTGCCAGTTTGTATCCCAGCTGCTCCACTTCCGATCCAGGTCTCTGCAATGGCCTGGGAAGGCAGTAGAGGATGTCCCAAGTCCTTGGGCCCCTGCACCCACGTGGGAGACCCAGAGGAAGCTCCTGGCTTCTGGCTTTGGATCAGTGAAGCCATTGCAGCCATCTCAGGAGTCAATCAGTGGATGGAATACTCTCTGTCTCTGCCTCTCTGGAACTCTGCCTTTCAAATAAAATACATAAATCTTTTTTTTTTTTAAATATTGTATAGAGGGGCTAGTGTTTTGGTACAAGGGGTTAAGCCACTGCCTGCAAAGCTGGCATCCCATTCGATTCCAAGCTGCTCCACTTCCAATCCAGTTCCCCTGCTGATGCTCCTGGGAAAGCATTGGAAGATGGCTCAAGTCCTTGGGTGCCTGCACCCACATGGGAGACCCAGATGAAGCTCCTTGCTCCTGGCTTCGGTCTGGACCAACTCCAGCCTTTTTGACCATTTGGGGAATGAACCAGTGGATGGAATACCTCTCCCCTACCCCCACCCCCTCTACTCTTTTGTATCTCTGCCTCTCAAGTAAATAAAATATATCTTAAAAAAAAACCTGTACAGAGGAGTGGGCATTGTGGGTTAAGCTGCATGGAGGTTAAGCCGCACTTGGGGATGCCTGCATCCTAAGTTCGAGTGCTGGCTCAAGAGTGGCATCTCTGGTTCTGATTCAGCTTCCTGTTAATGTTTCCTGAGAGGCAGCAGATGAAGATGGCCCTAGCTGTTGGGGCATTTGGGGAGTAAACCAGCAGATGGAAGATAGCTTTCTTCATTATTCTCTCTTTTGCTCTGTCACTCTGCCTTTCAAATAGATGAAAACAAACATTTAAAAAATGCATAGAGACGTGTGAGTATTTAGTGCAGTGAGCAGCTTAGAACATCCACATCCCGTGTAAGGGTGCCCGGGTTCAGTCCCAGCTCCACTTCTGATTCCAGCTCCCTGCTAATGCATACACTGAGAGGCAGCGGTGACGGCTCAAAGATTTGGACTTTGGCCGCCCACGTGGGAGATTGAGTTCTGGGCTCCTGGGTTCAGCCTGGCTCTATATGGTTATTGTGAGCATTTGGAGAGTGAACCAGAAGATAGAATAACTGTCTTTGTTTCTCTCACTCTGTCTGCCCTTCAAATAAATAATAATAAAGATGTTATCTACCATTTTCAAATTGTACCATAAAACATTAATTTAGCCGGCGCCGTGGCTCACTAGGCTAATCCTCCGCCTAGTGGTGCCGGCACACCGGGTTCTAGTCCCAGATGGGGCGTCGGATTCTGTCCCGGTTGCCCCTCTTCCAGGCCAGCTCTCTGCTGTGGCCAGGGAGTGCAGTGGAGGATGGCCCAGGTGCTTGGGCCCTGCACCCCATGGGAGACCAGGAAAAGCACCTGGCTCCTGGCTCCTGCCATCGGATCAGCGTGGTGCGCCGGCCGCAGCGCGCTGGGCGCGGCGGCCATTGGAGGGTGAACCAACGGCAAAGGAAGACCTTTCTCTCTGTCTCTCTCTCTCACTGTCCACTCTGCCTGTCAAAAAAAAAAAAATTAATTTAAAACCTCAAATAATAGTGATAGAAACTTTGCCTTCCATATCTCCATACATTTCTTTTTAATTTTTGTTTATTCATTTATGATTTTTATGAAAGGCAGACAGACAGAGATGGAAAAAGAGAGATCTCATCCATTGGAGAGAGATTCTAGGAAGCTGGCCTCAGATGTGGAGCTTGGACTTGAACTCAGAGGCTCCAATATGGGATGCAGGTGTTGCAAGCAGCATTTTAGCTCCTAGCTCAACCACCCATCCCAGTAGAAGCTTTCTTTAGATTTTACTTTCTGTACTAAATAATGTAGGTGATTTTAATTTTCTGTGTGTGTGTGTGTGTGTGTGTATGTGTGTGAATGTATACTCATGCGGATGTATTTACTGCCTTTTCTAGGGTCTGTGAAACATGGAGCCAAACTCACTGAGGACTAAAGTCCCAGCTTTCTTGTCTGACTTGGGGAAGGCCACATTGAGGGGAATTAGAAAGTGTCCCCGATGTGGCACATACAATGGAACTCGGGGGCTGAGCTGTAAGAACAAGACGTGTGGAACCATTTTCCGCTATGGGGCCCGGAAGCAACCTAGTGTTGAAGCTGTCAAAATCATCACAGGCTCCGATCTGCAAGTCTACTCTGTGCGGCAGAGAGACCGAGGCCCTGATTGCCGGTGCTTTGTGGAGCTCGGTGTTTCGGAGACGACGATCCAGACGGTGGATGGGACCATCATCACTCAGCTGAGCTCTGGCCGGTGTTATGTCCCCTCATGCCTCAAGGCTGCCGCCCAGGGTGTTGTGGAAAACCAGTGCCAGCACATTAAGCTGGCTGTGAACTGCCAGGCAGAGGCCACCCCTCTGACCCTGAAGAGCTCGGTTCTGAATGCGATGCAGGCCTCCCCGGAAACCAAACAGACCATCTGGCAGTTGGCCACAGCACCCACGGGCCCCCTGGTACAAAGGATCACTAAAAACATCTTGGTGGTGAAGTGCAAGGCAAGCCAGAAGCATAGTTTGGGGTATTTGCATACGTCTTTTGTGCAGAAAATTGGTACCAAAAGTTTGCCTGAGCGGCGCTTCTTCTGCTCCTGCCAGACTCTGAAAGCGAGCAAGTCGACCACCCCCAAGGATGAGGCAGCTCAGAGATGCATTCATTTCTTTGCCTGCATCTGTGCCTTTGCCAGTGATGAGACATTGGCTCAAGAATTCTCAGACTTCCTAAATTTTGACTCCAGCGGTAGGTGGTGTGATTGACACAGTAACTCTGTTTTTCTCAAGTGGCAAATGCAAGGTTGCCACTGATGCTTTGGAGAGTGCCCTGGCCACCTTCAGAAGCAGCTGCTAGGTGATTCAGATGGAAAGCGGTCCTTTGCATTACCCCAGTCAGCACACTTACAGAAAGGTTGTTTGGTTCCTTGGATAACTGGTTGAAATTAAGGATCAAGAGACTTGATATTTTTTGTTGAGACAATGAACCTAAGCCAAGTGGGCCTCACTTTGATTTTTTTTTTTTTTTTTTTTTTGCTCCTCCACAGATGCTCTGTGGAACATTTTTTGGTTCTTTGTTTAATACAAAGAACCAGAAAAAAATCCCTTTTATCCTGGCTTCTTTGCTTTGAACATAAGGAAGACTAATACCTTGCTCAAAAGATTTTTTTTTTTTTTTTTTTTTGGACAGGCAGAGTGGACAGTGAGAGAGAGAGACAGAGAGAAAGGTCTTCCTTTGCTGTTGGTTCACCCTCCAATGGCCGCCGCGGCCGGCGCACCGCGCTGATCCGATGGCAGAAGCCAGGTACCCATCCTGGTCTCCCATGGGGTGCAGGGCCCAAGTACTTGGGGCATCCTCCACTGCACTCCTGGGCCACAGCAGAGAGCTGGCCTGGAAGAGGGGCAACCGGAACAGAATCTGGCGCCCCATCTGGGACTAGAACCCGGTGTGCCGGCGCCGCAAGGCAGAGGATTAGCCTAGTGAGCCGCGGCGCCGGCCCTCAAAAGATTTTTAAAAGTGTCTTCATCAAGTTTTTTTTGTTGTCATTGACAAACCTTTATCTTGTTAACACTTTATTTTCACTTCATACTGATCATTAATGATGATCTATGAACAAAAATACAAATTTTGGGTAGTTTTTTTTTTTTATTTTTTGACAGGCAGAGTGGACAGTGAGAGAGAGAGACAGAGAGAAAGGTCTTCCTTTGCCGTTGGTTCACCCTCCAATGGCCGCCGCGCCCAGCGCGCTGCGGCCGGCGCACCACGCTGATCCGATGGCAGGAGCCAGGAGCCAGGTGCTTTTCCTGGTCTCCCATGGGGTGCAGGGCCCAAGCACCTGGGCCATCCTCCACTGCACTCCCTGGCCACAGCAGAGAGCTGGCCTGGAAGAGGGGCAACCGGGACAGAATCCGGCGCCCCGACTGGGACTAGAACCCGGTGTGCCGGCGCCGCTAGGCGGAGGATTAGCCTAGTGAGCCGCGGCGCCAGCCAGTTCTTTTTTTTTTTTAATTTGCCTCCAGTATGGCTTGGCTTTTTAAAAAAGATTTATTTATTTGAAAGGCAGAGTTACAGAGAGAAGGGAAGACAGAGAGAAGGAGATCTTCCATTTGCTGAGTCACTCCCTACATGACTGCAATGGCCGGGGCTGGTCCAGGATAAAACCAGGAAACTGGAACTCCATCCTGGTCTCCCACATGGGTAGCAGGGGCCCAAACACTTGGGCCATCTTCTGTTGCCTTCCCAGGCATGTTAGCAGGGAGCTGGAATGGAAGTGAAGCAGCCAGGACTTGAACCAGTACTCATAAGGGATGCCAGTGTCGAAGGCAGTAGCTTAACCCACTGTGCCACAACACCAGCCCTTAGATAGTTCTTTAAAGGAACTTTTTTTTTTTTTTTGACAGGCAGAGTGGACAGTGAGAGAGGGAGAGACAGAGAGAAAGGTCTTCCTTTGCCATTGGTTCACCCTCCAGTGGCCGCCGTGGCCAGCGCGCTGTGGCTAGTGCATTGCGCTGATCCAAAGCCAGGAGCCAGGTGTTTCTCCTGGTCTCCCATTGGGTGCAGGGCCCAAGTACTTGGGCCATCCTCCACTGCACTCCCGGGCCATAACAGAGGGCTGGCCTGGAAGAGGGGCAACCGGGACAGAATCCGGCGCCCCAACCGGGACTAGAACCCGGTGTGCCGGTGCCACCAGCCGGAGGAATACGCCTAATGAGGCAACTGTGTTGCTCAGCAGGTTAAACTACCAACTATGACACCAGTATCCCATATGAGTGCCAGTTAGATATGGGCTGCTCCACTTCTGATCCAGCTCTCTGCTAGTGTGCCTAGGAAAGCAGTGGAAGATGGCCCAAGTGCTTGGGCCCCTGCCACCCGTGTGGGAGACCCAAATGAAGTTCCTGGCTCCTGGCTTCAGCCCGGCCTAGCCCCTGCCATTGTGGCCATTTAGAGAGTGAGCCAGCAGATGGAAATGCTCGCTCTCTCTCTCTCCCCCTCTCCCTCTCTTTCTCCTTCTCTTTCTGTAATTCTGCCTTTAAAACAAATAAATCTTTTTTTATATATATTTTGTTTATTTGAATGACCAAGTAGCAGAGAGAGAGAGGTATCTTCCATTGGCTGGTTCATTCCCTAAATGGCTGCAATGGGCTGGGGCTGGGCCAGGCCGAAGCCAAGAGCCAGGAGCTTCACAAGGACTTGTGGCATCTTTCACTGTTTTCCCAGGTGTGTTAGCAAGAAGCTAAACAGGAAGCAAAGCAACCAGGCCTGGAATTGGCACCCATGTGGGGTTTCCAGCATCAAGACATAATGGCAGTCCCGGAACTAAATACTATTTTTTGAAAGATTTATTTGTTGGGCCGGCGCAGTGGCTCACTAGGCTAATCCTCCGCCTTGTGCCGCCGGCACACCGGGTTCTAGTCCCGGTCGGGGCGCCGGATTCTGTCCCGGTTGCCCCTCTTCCAGGCCAGCTCTCTGCTGTGGCCAGGGAGTGCAGTGGAGGCTGGTCCAAGTCCTTGGGCCCTGCACCCCATGGGAGACCAGGAGAAACACCTGGCTCCTGCCATCAGATCAGCGCGGTGCGGCGGCCATTGGAGGGTGAACCAACGGCAAAGGAAGACCTTTCTCTGTCTGTCTCTCTCACTGTCCACTCTGCCTGTCAAAAAAAAAAGAAAAAGAAAAAGAAAAAAAAAAGAAAGATTTATTTGTTTATTTGCAAGACAGAATGACAGGGAGAGACAGAAAGAAAGAAGTCTTCCATCTATTGGTTCACTCCCAAAATGGCCTCAAGTGACCGGGACTGGGCCAGGCAGAAGCCTAGAGCTCCATCTGGGTCTCTCATATGGATGCAGGGGCCCAAGCACTTGGGCCATCTTCCACTGCTTTCCCATGTGCATTAGCAGGGAGCTGGATCAGAAGTGGAGCAGCCAGGACTTGAAGCATCACCCATATAGGATGCTGGCATTGCAGGCAGCAATTTAACCCATTCTACCACAGCCCTAGCCCCAGGAATTTATTTCTAAGCAGGCAAACACGTGATCATTTGTTTTCGGGATTTGGATTTTTATGAATTACTTTTTCTCTAGTAGGGGCCCATACTTAACTCTTAAAATATTAGTAGTATTAGTAATCAGTAGTACTTGTAATTCGGAAGTCTTTTCTCTTTTAGGTCTTAAAGAGATTATTGTACCCCAGTTAGGCTGCCATTCAGAATCAACTGTGTCTGCCTGTGAATCTACTGCTTCTAAGCCCAAGAAAAGGAAGAAGGATGAAGTATCTGGTGAGAGGCTGTTTAGTTGGTTTGTTTGGTGGTATTATCTTTAGAAATTGTTTTACTGAGTTTTATGTCTTTCACTGAATCTCAGCAATTCTAAGAAATCATTCTTGTTCTTATGGCTTTCTTCCAAAAAAAGTTTTTATCCTCCACTGATGATTCCTTGTCAACTCAAGCTAAAAATTGGTTTTATTGATCAAAAGTAAGATCAGCCAGACTCCACTTTTATTGTATGTTTGTTCAACCCCAAAACATTCAGACTAATCTTAGATCTTAATCTACCTGATTATTTCATTATGAAGTTTTCATCTATAGAGGGTTTTATTTATTTATAATTTTTATTTATTTTCTTTTTTTTTTAAGATTTTTTTTTATTTCAAAGTCAGAGTGGACAAGGAGAGATGGAGAGAGAGGGAGAAAGATGTTCCATCCACTGGTTCACTCCCCAATGGCTCAACAGCCAGATCTGGGTGAGGCTGAAGCCAGGAGGCAGGAACTCCACCCTGGTCTCCCACATGGGTGGCAGGGACCTGTGTATTTTGGCCATCCTCCTCTGCCTTTCCCAGGTGCATTAGTGAGAAGCTGCATTGAAAGCGGAGTAGCCAAGACTCGAACTGAGACTCCAATATGGGCAGCTGGCATTGCAAACAGTGGCTTAATTCCTCCATCACAACACTGGTCCCAATTTTCATTTTATTTTATTTTTTTTAGTTTTAGGGATGTATTAATATGTTAGATTCTTAGGTTTACACCAAATGCATGGTAATTACTACAGCAGAATTCTTATCAATTCTCATGTTAATGTGATGTTAATATAAAGAGAACAGATTCAATGTAGTTCATAGATACAATTCTAAGAATATAATGATTGTTTTCATTTTGTTTGAAAGTCAGAGAGAAAGCAAAAAAGAGACAGAAGTCTTCCATCTGTTGGTTTACTCCTCAAATCCCTGCAGTAGCCAGGGCTTGGCCAGGCTGAAATCAGAAGTCTGGAGTTCCATCCTGTTCTCCCACGTGGGGACAGGGACCCAAGTATTTGAGTTATCACTTGCTGCCTCCCAGGGTTCTTATTAGCAGGGAGCTGAATCAGAGGTGGAAGAGTCAGGACTTTAACCAGGCACTCTTATACAGGATGCAGGTGTCCCACATGGTGGCTTAAATGTTGTGCCAAATGGCCACCCCATAGAGGGTTTTACAAAAAACAGTGTGACAATGGTTAGTTGTATTTTCCACACTAATGTAGGAGTATAGTTTGCAGTTTCAGCATGTGGAGATTGATAACATTTAGATACTCCTTGAGATGTAATGGGATACATCATCAACTGAAAATACTATAAGTTAAAAATGCATGTAATACTCTTAGCACCTCATAGCTCAGCCATGGGACACATTGTGGAGTATGGTTTTTTTTTTTTTTTTCTTTATGATCACATGGCTGATCAGGAGAGAGTATTAAAGCCCAGAAAAAAATCAAAATTCAAAATTTTAAGTATGATTTCCACTGAATGTGTATTGATTTTGCACCCTTATAAAATCCCAAAGTCATTGTTGAAAAAAAATTTCTTATGGCAAAAATAAAATGTTTTAATTCTAAAAAAAATCATTAAGTTGAACTATCATAAGTCGGGGACCATATGTACACACACACACACACACACACAATTTTGAAATTTAAATATTTGGGGCTGGTGCTGTGGTGCAGCAGGTTAAGTGCTGCCTGCAACGCTGGCATCCCACATGGGTGATGGTTCATGTTTTACCTGCTCCACTTCTGATCCAACTCCCTGCCAATGAGCCTGGAAAAGCGTCAGAGGATGGCCCAAGTCCTTGGGCCCCTGTTCCCACATAGGAGACCTGGGTGAAGCTCCTGGCTCCTGGCTTTGGCCTGGCCCAGCCCTGGTCATTGTGGCCATTTGAGGAGTAAACCAGCAGATGGAACACCTCCCTTTCTGTGTCTCTCCCTGTCTATCTCTGTAATCTGCCTTTCAAGTAAATAAATATTTAAAACATAAAAAATAAAATTCAAATATTTAATGCCAGTATCAGTTAAGGTCCCATATGTGTCAGTGTGGAAATGCCATGGTACTATACTACGTAAGTGTCCAGAAATCTATATTCTAAAAAAAGTGAAGATATTACCTGGCCCATTTTTATATATCAAACCCTGAACTCACTAGTAAACAGGGAAATGTGAACATTTAGAAATGCAAAATTAAAACAAGATACTTCTGCTACCAAATTACCAAATTTTTATGTGTTTGAAAGGCAGGGAGAGAGAGACCTTTCATGCACTGTTTCACTCCCCAAATGCTCACACAGTCCAGGCTGAAGCAGACCAAAGCAGGAAGCCATGAGCTAATTTCTGTGTCTCCTATGTTGGTGGCAGGAGTCCAGCTCTCCGAGCTGTCACCTGATGCCTCCCATGGTGCTCATTAGTGGGAGCTGAAATGGGCAGCAGCCCTGGGGCTTCAGTGTGGGATGTGGCTTCTCAGGGAGGGCCTGTCCACACATTATCAAGGATTTAAAAATGCTGAGACTGCAGGCAAAGCTGGCAATCCAGGCTCTCATGGCCGGTGTAAAGTAAATTGCTTTAATCATGGGTAAATGAAGCTTGCAGTATCTGTTACTGGACCTTAAAATGGTCAGTGCACAGGAATCTTGGTGCCGGGAAGTTGAAGTAAAATGGAGAAACAAAGTGGCATGGTCATTGCTGTGCTTTGGAGAAGCCCTCAGGTGGCAGTATCAGGTAGAGATTGTTGTTAAATGTTTACTTGTTGATCTTTTTCCAGGAAAATTCAAAATTCTGAAAAGGAACAAAGTTTTTATCCTTTCATTCAGTAGTCCCACTTACAAATAATCTTTTTAAAGGAAATAATCTTGGTATAGGAAAATAATTTTGTCCAGAGATATTTATTTTATGATTATTTATAATATTGAAAACTTAGAAACAATTAGTGATAGTTAAATGAACCATGGTAAAGCCACTTTATCACTGAATATCAGGCAGCCATTGAAAATGGTTGTAGGGCCGGCACCGCGACTCAGTAGGCTAATCCTCCGCCTGCGGAGGTTCTAGTCCTGGTCGGGGCGCCGGATTCTGTCCCGGTTGCCCCTCTTCCAGGCCAGCTCTCTGCTGTGGCCAGGAAGTGCAGTGGAGGATGGCCCAAGTGCTTGGGCCCTGCATCCCATGGGAGATCAGGAGGAAGCACCTGGCTCCTGCCTTCGGATCAGCGCGGTGCGCTGGCCACAGTGGCCATTGGAGGGTGAACCAACGGCAAAGGAAGACCTTTCTCTCTGTCTCTCTCTCTCTCTCTCATTGTCCACTCTGCCTGTCAAAAAAAAAAAAAAAAAAATTGGTTGTAGGGACTGGTGCTGTTGCATAGTGGGTTAAGCAGCTGCCTGCAGTGCCTGCATCCTATATGGGTGCTAGTTTGAGTCCTGGCTTCTCCACTTCCAATCCAGCTCCCTGCTAATGTGCCTGGGAAAGCAGTGGAAGATGGCCCAAGTGCTTGAGCCCTTGTACCCACATGGGGGACCCAGGTGAAGCTCCTGGCTCCTGGCTTCAGATTGGCCCAGCTCCAGCCATCACAGCCATCTGGGGAATGAACCAGCAGATGGAAGATCTCCCCCCACCCCTTCCTCTCCCTGCCTCTACTTCTCCTTCTCTGTAACTCTGCCTTTCAAGTAAATAAATAAATCTTTTTTTTTTTTTTAATAATGATTGTAAAGAATTTGGGGGTTGTGGTATAGCAGGTTAAACTGCCATCTGCAGTGCTGGTATCCCATATGAGTGCAGGTTTGAGGCCTAGCTGCTCTACTTCCAGTCTAGCTCCTTGTTAATGGCCTGGGAAAGCAGTGGAAGATGGCCCAAGTGCTTGGACCCCTGTACCCATGTAGGAGACCCAGATAAAGCTTCTGGCTTTGGCCTGGCCTGGCCCCAGGATATTACCATCGTTTGGGGAGTGAACCAGCAGGTGGGAAGATGCTTTCTCTCCATCTCTCTCTCTCTCTCTCTCTCTCTCTCTCTGCCTCTAAAATTTTAAAAACAAAATACAGGAATTTCAGATAAATAATGAATAAATTTTTAGTGTAAGTATCTCCCATGCAATATTTGGAACATACTTAACTAAAAATTATTTTTCTGAAATTCAAACTAATTTTTCCACTACATTTGGCAATATTTTTATGGTCACAGCTCCTTACAATTACAAAACTAGCAAAACAAACTAAAAAGTAGAGGACCACTCACCAGAAAACTAATCGGTTATTTGAGAAGTGGGAACAATGGGTGAATCTTTTCTTCTTTCTGTTTTGTAACTTCTAATTTCCATAATGAGCATAAAAAGTTTAAATTTTTATGTATAATGGCTAATGCAAATTTCTTCTAGAAACTATGAAGCCAACCTAGAAATTAGTAGGGAATATTTGTATATTTTAGACTCTTTAGAAATCAATATCAAATCAATTTGTATTTTGTAGGTACTTTATTAAACACTGTCATGATTTATGGTTTAGGCACACAGATGAACAGTTCACTATTGCCTCAAGATGCAGTGAGCAGTAACCTAAGAAAAAGTGGCCTGAAAAAGCCTGTGGTTGCTTCTTCACTAAAAAGGCAGGGTAAGTTCCCTTCCCTAGCATAGGCTACAGTGGTGGAAAGTCATCCTAAAAATCCAGAAGCAGTAGCAGTGTCGTCTGTTGTCCCTGAAAGGTGCTAACATAGACAATAGCAGGCGTGAACCTGAGGTCTTTCCTGTTTTACTAGTTTCAAATCATGCTCAAAATTCAATTGTGTGTGAAACCATAGAGTTGGAGAACAGATTGGTTGGTTGCCAGAGCTTGGAGAGGGTTTGGGAGGGAAGTAACAGCAGTGGTGAAAGGATAGTAGAGGGGAGCCTTGTCATGACTCCCTTGTTTCTTCAGTGTGGTTGTCATGTAAGTCTACACGTGTGGAAAAATTACATCCAACTCTATGCACACACACCACACATTGGGTGCATGTGAAACCAATGAAATCTGAATGAGGCCACTGGATTGTACTGTGTCATTTTTCTGATTGTGATGTTGTACTAGAGTTTTACAAAATGCTGCTTTTGGAGGAATCTGTGTAAAGAGCGTGCAAGTTCTGCATTTCTTACAATTTCACATGAATATACAATTCTCTAAAAAAATTTTAAACTATGCAAGAAAAGCCTTAGAGATTACTAAAAGCAAGCAAACCATGCTGAAAACAAACCAAAACAAATTGTGTCTTTAACTCAGCAGTGCCTCATATGTTTTAGCAACGGGTATTTGCAGGATGTTTTCCTCTTACTGCTTATTGCCCACATGTAGTCGAGTCAAAGCTGAAAGGAAAAATGTGTTTTTATAATTACAAAAAATTAATATTTATTGAGAAGGACAAGTATAGTTTATTTTCCAAAGTCAGTGAAGCTTGAAAACATACCTAAGAAGCAATAGCCTGGCTATTGTTCTGAATTTATGAGACAGAATGACTTAATTTGAACACAGTTTATGTTTATCACTTTTCTACTCAGAATACTTAAGCTTATACATTTTGGTAATCAATCTTTTCTTAACTCTCCTTATAAATTGTATAAAGAGTTTAGTTCAACATTGGCAGTATTGAAAACTTGTTTTGATATGGCCAGCCATGTAATGCAACTGGCTGGTTAAAAACTGGAATCATCCCTGCCCTTACATTCTGGTTTTGAAGATAAGACCAATATGTAATTATAGAATACAGGACTGAATACTAATTAACTTATTCATTAAACACTTGTACTTTCTGGGTATAAATGTTTTTGGAAGGTCAGGAAATAAACAGATCAACTGTCAGAAGTTTTTTTTTTAAAGATTATTTATTTATTTATTTGACAGGTAGAGTTACAGATAGTGAGAGAGAGAGAAATGGCCACTACAGCCGGCGCTGCGCCGATCCAAAGCCAGGAGCCAGGTGCTTCCTCCGGGTCTCCATGCAGGTGCAGGGGCCCAAGCACCCGGGCCATCCTCCACTGCCTTCCAGGGCCACAGCAGAGAGCTGGACTGGAAGAGGAGCAACCGGGACTAGAACCTGGTGCCCATATGGGATGCTGGCGCCGCAGGCGGAGGATTAGCCTAGTGAGCCACAGTGCCAGGCCCAGGTAGAAGATTTTTTTAAACCACTTGTCATCACTGCCTGTAGGGAAAAGAAGTAAGAAAGTATCCTCAATACAAATAAGCACATTTACCTATGATAATTTTAACTTTTTAAGATTTATTTATTTATTTGAAAGTCAGAGTTACAGAGAGAGAGAGAGAGGTCTTCCATCCGCTGGTTCACTCCCCAGTTGGCCGCAAGGTCGGAGCTGGGCCGATCTGAAGACAGGCTCCAGGAGCTTCCTCCGGATCTCCCACACAGGAGCAGGGGCCCAATGAGTTGGGCCATCTTCTACTGCTTTCCCAGGCCATAGCAGAGAGCTGGAACAGAAATGGAGCAGCTGGGACTCGAACCAGCGCCCATATGGGATGCTGGCACTGCAGGTGGCAGCTTTACCCACTATGCCACAGCGCCGGTCCCTGCCTATGATAATTTTAATTTCAAATAGGTAGTAGGGATGATGATGTTTTTCTCTATATATAAAAAGGTGACAGGTTTCAGACACATAAAGATATTTTAGAGAAGCAATAGGATAGGAAGGTAGATTTGTGGAAGGTCATTCAGACTCAGATCCTTATTTAGAGAAGAGGACAGAGGCAGTAAGCACACAGGATGATGATCCCGCAACCTTTTGACTCCCAGCCCCAAACTCGGACCCATTAAATTCCATCATTTGTCACTGTATTTCCCAGTTACTCAGAGCTAGAAATTTACGTCTTTTGCCGTTATTTAGAAGTGAATTTTCATTCATTTTGGATATCTGTATACAAGGTTTTAGGTTTTAGGTATAAAGAAATCACAGCAACCCATGGTGAATGTATCAACTCAACCTTGATATGAAAACATATCAACCTTTATTTGAAACAGCCTCATTTTGGAGAAGATTTGGAGCATGTAAATATATATTTATCAGGAATAGAACTAACCTATGGATGTCTAAAATAGCTGTTATACAGAGAGGAACCATTCTTTAGCATGCAGTTAGTGTTAAAAGATTGCAAACTTTCTGTGGTTAATACTCTTGTACCTGTTAGTCTCTAAAAGCTTTTCTAAGTACATTCTTTTGTAAAACTTAATTTATCTACTTTCCTTGAATTTCAGCTTCTAGGTTTTTTTTCTGTGCAAACTCAACTTTCTCAAATTTCAATTAAGTGTTTATTCTATAAGAAAAGTGACTAAAGAGTTGTCTTTTCTTCTTTTCCTAGCCTGTGGTCAGCTGTTGGATGAGGCCCAAGTGACCTTATCCTTCCAAGACTGGCTGGCCAGTGTCACAGAACGCATCCATCAAACCATGCACTATCAATTTGATGGTAAGTGTTGATTGCCCAACTGGGCTCTTGCTCAAAGTAGAAGGTACTAAATTGTTCTGTAATTTTTTATTTTAATGTTTTTTTTTAAGATTTATTTTCATTTATTTGAAAGGCAGAGTTACAGAGAGAGGAGAATAGACAGAGAGAGAGAAAGAGAGATCTTCCATCTGCTGGTTCACTCTCCAGATGGCCACAATGGCTGGGGCTGTGGCAGGCTGAAGCCAGGGCCTGGAGCTTCTTTCAGGTCTCCCACATGGGTGCAGGGGCTCAAGGACTTGGTCCACCTTCCACTGCTTCCCAGGCATGTTAGCAGGGAGCTGGATGGGAAATGGAGCAGCCGGGACTCAATGTCAGTCCAATTGTCCTATAATTCTACTCTGTTTTGATAGAAAAAGTAATTGGACTTCAGTCCAGAGAGCTTTGGGCCCCCACATAATAGGAGTCCAAATTGAAAGAAAGGACTAATCATGTAATTTATTTATTCATTTATCTGAAAGAGTTACACAGAGAGAGACAGAGACAGAGATCTTTTGTCTGCTGGTTCATTTCTCAAATAGCCACAATAGCCAGGGCTGGGCTAGGCCAAAGCCAGGAACCAGGCACTTTTTCCAGCCCTCCCAAATGGGTGCCAGGGACCCAACTATTTGGGCCATCTTTTGCTGCTTTCCCAGGCCATTAGCAGGGAGCTGGATCAGAAGTGGAGCAGCTGGGACATAAACTCCTTTAGGATGTCAATGTCACAGTGGCACTTAACCTGCTATGCCACACAGTGGCCTTTACTCACATAATTAAAATGCAGGACTAGAAAAATGGATTTAGAAATTGAAAACAGTACAGCAAGTAATAAATAATTGCAAATGGCCTTGATCACATGTACGTTTGTGTGTGTGTGTGTGTGTATGTGTGTATCTGTGTTTGGTGAGAGAGATACCAAACCTTTAGATCATTCTTACTGTTAAAATCAAAATATAGAGGAAAAAAGCTGAGAGAAAAATCTTAACATGTGAGATTAAGATAGTTACTTGAAAAATTTTTAAAAGATTTTATTTATTTGAGAGGTAGAGTTACAGATAGAGGGAGACAGAAAGAAAGGTCTTCCATCCATTTGTGCCTGCAATGCAACAGCGCCAGCCCCAGTTGCTTGAAATTGTATAGACAGTCTACTAAGGAAGATTGAAGAATACAGGCTGGATTTATTTATTTATTTATTTATGTATTGTGAAAGTCAGAGTTACAGAGAGGCAGAGGCAGAGATAAAGAAAACTCTTCCATCGACTGGTTTACTCCCCAGATGGCCACAACAGCCAGAGCTGGGCTGATCCGAAGGCAGGAGCCAGGAGCTTCTTCCGGGTCTCCCACGTGGGTGGAGGGGCCCAAACACTTGGGCCATCTGCCACTGCTTTCCCAGGTCATAGCAGAGAGCTGGATCAGAAGTGGAGCAGCCAGGACTCGAACCAGCGCTCATATGGAATGCCAGCTCTGCAGGCAGCGGCTTTACCTGCTAAGCCACAGTGTCGGCCCCAAGATTGTGTAAACCTGCATTCAAGCATCACATCAGCTGAGGTCAGATGAGTTAGCACTTCTTGGGGAGCTCTAATTACCCCTACATGTAGTCCATAATCTGATTTCAGGATGAAAGGGCTTAAAATTTCAATGTGTGATGACTTCTTGAAAACATCTAGATGTTAATATTTTTAGGCCGGCGCCGCGGCTCACTAGGCTAATCCTCTGCCTTGCGGCACCGGCACACCGGGTTCTAGTCCCGGTCAGGGCGCCGGATTCTGTCCCGGTTGCCCCTCTTCCAGGCCAGCTCTCTGCTGTGGCCCGGGAGTGCAGTGGAGGATGGCCCAAGTCCTTGGGCCCTGCACCCCATGGGAGACCAGGAGAAGCACCTGGCTCCTGCTATCAGATCAGCGTGGTGCGCCGGCCACAGCGCGCTGCCGCGGTGGCCATTGGAGGGTGAACCAACAGCAAAGGAAGACCTTTCTCTCTGTCTCTCTCTCTCACTGTCCACTCTGTCTGTCAAAACAAAACAAAACAAAAAAAAACAAGCAAACAAAATATTTTTGTGCCTCAGAATCAGTGACCATATGGTTATTAACATTTTGCATTCAGTAAAGTAGGCAAAACCCATGGAGAGAATTTGAATCTTTCTACAGAATTCTAGAAAACTTTTCATTCTGATTTTTCTTGGCTTGCTTTTTTGTTTCAAAAAGGCATTTAAGGGGCAGGCTCTGTGGCATAGTGGGTAGAGCCACCGCTTGTACCCATCTCATATGGGTGCTGATTACAGTTCCAGAGCTCCGCTTCCCATCCAGCTTCCTGCTGATGTGCCTGGGAAAGCAGCAGAAGATGGCTCAGTACTTGGGCTCTTCACCCACATGGGAGGCCCAAAAGAAGCTTCTGGCTCCCAGCTTCAGATTAGCCCAGCCCAGTTGCAGCCATCTGGGGAGTGAACTAGTAGATGGAAGATCTCTCTCTGTAACTCTGCCTTTCAAATAATAAATAAATCTTAAAAAAAATAAATAAATAAAGGCATTTGAACTGTCTTTAAGAGTCTTTCTTGGGCCAGCTTTGTGGCACATTGGGTTGGGTTAATCTGCCTCCTGCAATGCCAGCATTCCATATGAGCACCAGTTTGGGAAGTGTCCCAGCAAATGGAAGATTCTCTCTCTCTCTCTCTCTCTCTCTGTAACTCTGCCTTTCAAATAAATTTGTTTTAAAAGAGTCCTTTAATTGTACTAGGCAGATAATTTCCTTGTTTATCCATGTAGTTCTGTATTTTTTCTGTCTGCAGGGGCTAGCCCCCTTGGGCAAAATTTTTAAAAAATATTTTATTTATTCAAAAGGCAGAGACAGAAAGAGAGAAAAAGATAGTTTCCATCTGCTGGTTCACTCCCCAAATGCCCACAACAGTCGGGGCTGGGCCAGGCTGAAACTGGAATCCTGGAACTCATTCTGGATCTTTAGGCAGAATTAAGGAAAATTCTCAACTCAATTAATAAAAAAAGTATATATCTGTCTATTTATTTAAAGGCAGAGAGACAGACAGAAAAAGATGTGCCTTTCACTATTCACTGCTCAATTGTCCGTAAGAGCTGTAGCTAGGCAACTAAAGCCAGGAGCTAAGAACTCAGTCAGGGTCTCCCGTATGGGTGGCAGAGACCCAAGTGCTTTTCCACCACTGCCCGCCCCCACAGTGTGCACATAAGCAGGAGGTTGGAATCAGAAGCAGAGCAGCCATTCCAATCCAACTAAACTGATGTGATGTGGTGGCATCTTAACTGCTGTGCCAAGTATCTGTCCCTAAAGTCATTTGATGTACGCCCCTGAATTCTCTTTCTGTTGACTTTTGGTCAAACTAATGTCTTGCAAGTTTCTTTAAGAGATTGTTGTAGCTGGGCTGGCGCCGCGGCTCACTAGGCTAATCCTCCGCCTTGCGGCGCCGGCACACCGGGTTCTAGTCCCGGTCCGGGCGCCGGATTCTGTCCCGGTTGCCCCTCTTCCAGGCCAGCTCTCTGCTGTGGCCAGGGAGTGCAGTGGAGGATGGCCCAGGTGCTTGGGCCCTGCACCCCATGGGAGACCAGGAGAAGCACCTGGCTCCTGGCTCCTGCCATCGGATCAGCGCGGTGCGCCGGCCGCAGCGCGCTGGCCGCGGTGGCCATTGGAGGGTGAACCAACGGCAAAGGAAGACCTTTCTCTCTGTCTCTCTCTCTCTCACTGTCCACTCTGCCTGTCAAAAAAAAATTAAAAAAAAAAAAAAAGAGATTGTTGTAGCTGGCGTTGCGGCATAGTAGGTTAAACCACCGCTTATGACACCTGCATCCCATAGGGTCATTGCTTCAAGTTCTCGCTGTTCCACTTCCAATCCAATCCCTGCTAATGTGCTTGGGAAAGCAAAGGAAGACGGGCCAAATGCTTGGGGCTTTGCACCCACATGGGAGACTTGGAAGAAGCTCCTGGATCCTAACTTCAGCCCTGCCCAGCCACAGCCCATGCTGCCATTTGGGGAATTTACCAGTGGATGGAAGATCTCTCTTTGTCTCTCCTTCTCTTTCTGTCCATAACTCTCCCTTTGAAATAAATAATATCTTTTTTAAAAAAAAGAGAGATTTGTTACATATGTTCAGAATCTTGCTTGCCGTGAGGCTATACTCAGGGAGGAAGGCTGATGACCATTGGATAAAGTCATGTCCTAATTTTGTAGTCCCTCAGCATTTGTGATGCTGACCATCCAGGTAGAAGCATGCAGTTACTTTGCTCAGACAGGAATCCAAGTAGCAGGTGCCTGTGGGTGGTGAACAGGAGCAAGTGGACACAGGTGACCAGCTCCTCCTTAACTCAGCTTCATTGTTCTCATCTCATCTTATTTAATATTCCCTTTAAAGCGAAAAGTCTGTGCTCAAAATGCAGAATTTAAGTTCCTGTGCCAGTATTGTGGCATACAGTTAAGCTGCTTCCTGCAACATTGATATCCCAAATAAGAGGACTGATTCAAGTTCTGACTGCTCCGCTTCTGATCCAGCTCCCTGCTAATGTGTCTAGGAAAGCAGCAGAAGATGGCCCATGTACTTGGGCCCCTGCACCCATGGGGGAGACCCAGATGGAGTTCCAGGCTCCTGCCTTCAGCCTGGCCCAACCCCAGCTGTTGCTGGCATTTGGAAAGTGAACTAGTAGATGGAAGATCTCTGTGTCTCTTCCGCTCTCTCTCTCATTCCATTTTTCAAATAAAAACAATTTTTAAAATTCAAAATTTAAAAACTTATCCTTGGTGAATGACAAGGATCTGCTCTGTTTTGTTTTGTTTTTTAAATTATTTTTAAATGCTTGATTAACATGCAATACTTGTACAATTTTATGGGGTGTAGTGCAGTATTTTTACAGATAAACACAGTGTAAATCTATCAAACTGGGCAACTAACCTTTCCATTTCCTTATCTTTGTGTTTGAGCTTAGCAGCTCCTCTCTTCTAGTTCTTTCTACAGAGAACAGTGCACTATCATGAGATGTGGTGGCCCCACTGTGCTGTAGAGCACTGGAACTTGCTACTTCTGTCTCAGTGCTTTGTTATGTATCATCCAAGCTCCCTCTAATCTGTCCCCCTCCACTCTTCTCAGCCTTTAGTAATCATTATTCCTAGATCAGAGCCACTTTTTCCTTCAACTTCCATGTATGAGAATATCTATATATGGTGTTTGTCTTTCTGTGTCTGTCTTATTTCACTTAACAAAATGAGTACCAGTTCCACCAATGTAGCTGTAAATGTCAGTATTTTGTTCTTTATGGCTGAATAATAGTCCTGTGTGTGTGTGCGTGTGTATCACATTTTCTTTATTCGTCTACCAATGAAATCTAAGTTGTTTCCATATCTTAGCTATTAGGAACACTGCTGCAATGAACATGGGAATGCAGGTATAGCTCCTGTTTACTGATTGCATTATATATAATATTGCATATAATATATTGCACTTTATATATGCAAATATAAATAAATATATATGCGTTATATAAAATATTATTTGTAAGTATATAAATTATTATAAATTACTTATATATTATTTATAAGTATATAAATATATTTATGTATTTTATATATTTATAAATAAGTATATAAATTTATAAATATATATTATATAAATATATTTATGCATTTTATCTCTCTCTCTCTCTCTCTCTCCAGAAGGGGGATAACTGGGTGATATGGTAGCTCTGTTTTTAGTATTTTGAGGAACCTCTGTGATGTTCTCCCTAATGGTTGTATGAATTTACATTCCCACCAATAGTGTATAAGGGTTCTCTTTTTTCTACATCCTAGCCATCATTTCTTATCTTTTGTCTTTTTGATACCAGCCATTCTGATTGGAGTCAGATGTACTGCTCTGTGGTTTTGATTTGCATTTCTCTATGCTGGCAACATTGAGCATTGTTCCATGTATTTGTTGGCCATTTGTATTTCTTCTTTTGAAAAATGCCCATTTAGATCCTTTGCCCATTTGTTAACTGGATTTTTTTCCATTATTGAGTTTTTTGAGTTCCTCATATATTCTGGATTTTTTTTTTTTTTTGACAGGCAGAGTGGACAGTGAGAGAGAGAGAGAGAGAGAAAGGTCTTTCTTTTGCCGTTGGTTCACCCTCCAATGGCCGCCGCGGCCGGCGTGCTGCAGCTGGCGCACCGCAGCCGGCGCACCGCGCTGATCCGATGGCGGGAGCCAGGTACTTCTCCTGGTCTCCCATGGGGTGCAGGGCCCAAGCACTTGGCCCATCCTCCACTGCACTCCCTGGCCACAGCAGAGAGCTGGCCTGGAAGAGGGGCAACTGGGACAGAATCCGGCGCCCTGACCGGGACTAGAATCCGGGGTGCCAGCACCGCAAGGCGGAAGATTAGCCTAGTGAGCCACGGCACTGGCTATTCTGGATATTAATCATTTGTCAGATGAATAGTTGCCAGATGTTTTCATCCATTCCCTTGGTTGTCTCTTTGTTGATTATTTCTTTCACTGTGCAGAAGCTTCTTAGTTTGATATAATCCCATTTGTCCAGTTTTGCTCTTGTTGTCTCTGCTTTTCAGGTCTTAAACAAAAAATAACATTGCCTGAAATGATGTCTTGAAATGTTTCCCCTATGTTTTCTTCTAATAATTTCAGGTCTTTTTTTTTTTCCCAAAGATTTATTGATTTATTTGAAAGAGTTACACAGAGAGAGGAAAGGCAGAGAGAGAGAGAGAAGTCTTCCATCCACTAGTTCACTCCCCACTAGCCGCAATGGCCAGAGCTGCGCCAATACAAAGCTAGGAGCCAGGAGCTTCCTCTGGGTCTTCCCATGCAGGTGCAGAGGCCCAAAGACTTGGGCCATCTTCCACTGCTTTCCCAGGCCATAGCTGGATCAGAAGTGGAGCAGCCAGGTCTCGAACCAGTGCCCATATGGGATGTGGCACTGTAGGCAGCAGCTTTACCCGCTATACCATAGCATTGGCCCCTCAGGTTTTTTTTTTTTCTTTTAAATAATAATTTATTTATGTGAAAGGCAAAGTTTACAGAAAGAGAGAGAAAGAGAGAGAGAGTAAGGACTTCCATCTACCGGTTCACCCCCCAAATGGCCATAATGGCCAGAATTGTGCTGAAGTCAGGAACTAGGAGCATCTTCCAGGTCTCCCACGTGGGTGCAGGGGCCCAAGGACTTGGGCCGCCTTCCACTGCTTTCTTGGGCTCATCAGCAGGGAGCTGGATTGGAAGTGGAGCAGCCAAGTCTCGAACCAGTGCCCATATGGGATGTTGGCATTGCAGGCAGTGGCTTTACCTGCTACTGCACAATGCCAGCCACCCAGGTCTTACATTTAGGTCTTTTATCTGTTTGGAATTAATTTTTATATAAGATGAGAAGTAGGTGCACTGTGTTTTTATGATTACAAAGGATCAAGTGCAGGGCTGGTGACAGTGCCTGGTTCAGAGAGACCCATTAAAAGCCTTCTTTTTGCCTCTGTATAAAGAAACATCAGGGGTATTTGTAGTTACTCTCCATTTTTTTGACCTTTCCCTGTAGATCAGAAAGCTCACCAGATTTTTTTTAAAGATTTATTTTATTTTTTTGAAAGGCAGCATTATAGAAAGAGGGAGCTCTTCTGTCCACTGGTTCTCTCCCTAAATGGCTATAACTCCAGAGCTGGGCCAGGCGAAGCCATGATTTTGGAACTCCATCTGGGTCTCCCACTTGGGTATAGGGGCCCAAGTACTTGGACCATCTTCCTCTGCTTTCCCAGGCTCATTAGGAGAGAAGTGGATTGGAAGTGGAGCAACCAGGACTCAAACTGGCATCCATAGGGGATGCTGGCATTGCATATGAAGCTCAACCAGCTGAGCCACAGTGCTAGCCTGCTCACTGAATTTTTTTAAGTGACTTTCTTTTTACTTTTGTAGGCAAACCAGAACCACTGGTGTTCCACATTCCTCAGTCCTTTTTTGATGCCCTGCAACAGAGAATATCCATAGGAAGTGCAAAAAAACGGCTCCCGAACTCCACCACAGGTAGGGGTTTCCCCTTGAGAAGGGCACAAGTAAACAAACGGAAGGAAGGAAAGGAAAGAATGGCAGTAGATATCTCAACCTTAGAGAATTATGTTTGGAAAAAAATCTGTGTGGAACTTGGAGGGTGAGGACTTCAAGTAACATTCTTGGAGCATGAACCCATCACTAATCAGCTCCTGAAATAATGACCACATGCTTCAAGGGCCCCCCCATACTCTTCCAGTAAGAATTAATGGAAAGATTCAGAAAGCGCAAATGAGGTAAAGGAAGAACAGTGAAGTGCAGTGACGGTGCTGCCAAAAATCTGGTGTTTCTAGAGATGAACCAATTGCCACCAAAGCACTGCATGCACCAGTGGTTATTCAGGTCAGCTTCTTGGACGGATATTACCATGTATATCAAAAACAAAAGCATTTTCTCCTGGTCCCCAAATTTTGGTGAAGGAAGATTTTGTTTTTTAGAGTAATTCTTAGTTTGGAACATTTTATAATTCTACATTACTCTGGTAGTTTTTGGTTTCACGTATTTTCTTTCTCTAGAGATCTCACAGAATACAGAAATAGAGAAAAGGAAGAAGGGGAGGCAAAGATTGCTTGGTGGCCAATAGCCAAGAGCAGCAACTAAAAGCCAATGCTGTTTCTTCAGTAAGATTTTATGTATTCAAAAGGCAGAGAGACAGACAGATCTCCCATCTACTGGTTTCACTCCCTGAATACCTGAAAAAGCCATAACAGTATCAGGCTGAAGCTTGGACCCTGGAACTCAGTCTGGATCTCCCATGTGGATGGCAGGAATCATACTCGAGCTGTCATCCGTTACCCTCCAGGGTGTGCATTAACAGGAAGTTGCAATCAGGAGTGGAACCAAACTTGAACCCAGATGCTTCCTGAATGAGATGTGGGCATCCCAAGCACTGTCTTAACTGCTATACCAAATGCTAATCCTGGTAAATTGTTATTTAGTGATTTAGTAGTTACTTCTTGAGGTTTCCATCTGTTTTTACGTAGTGCCAGCTGTTCATCACTGTGTTTAGAACCATCTGAATCTTTGCTTCACAACTTATCTTTTTGAAGCAGCATTTAGTCTTTATTTCAGTTTAAATTGTAGGCCAGATACATCCATTTTAACCAATCCCTTAGTTGTTTCTGCAGGCTCTTTGGTGGACCTGCTTTATAATCCTGCAGACAGGACAATGAACTGGTAATGACATTAGCAATCTTCATGTAATTATTTTAAGAACTATGGTTTGACTTCTGTTATGTCCAGTGTTGTCAGATGCTGTTTTATAATGGACTCCTGTACATTCTGTGCTTTACCAAAGAAACAGGTCTCTTAGGTACCAATAAGAAACAGGGTCTCAAAGAAGCATTAGACTTATATAAAGATAGAGCAGAGATCTGTACCATTTGGTTTGTCACTTATCTGCCTGTAATTTGATTTGTTATATATTTGCTCCTAGAATTTCTTTTCAAGAATGCTAAGATTCTATAAGGGAGGAATGACACTGTGCTGAACTTTCTAGAAATAGAGGGACAGTTTTTTTGGTTATCTAATTTTGTCCTTTTTTTATATTGAAGCCTTTGTTCGGAAAGATGCCTTGCCACTGGGAACCTTTTCCAAGTATACCTGGCATATCACTAACATTCTGCAAGTTAAACAAATCTTAGACACCCCAGAGGTAAGGGTTTATTCTCACACTGGTGGAAGGGCAGAGTGGGGAAGGAGGGAGTGGGGGTAGGGAAATTTCCATACCAGTTGCTCCAGCCGAAGAGTTGCTTTTGGTCATGCTGAGAGGTTATTCAGAAATATCCATGGCTTTAGAGTTCTGACTGTGACTTTAATGGGCATTCCCTCTTTCTCAGAAAGGTATCTTAAATTGGAATATGCTTTTATCTGCCTTTGGGATCAGAAAACTGGAGAACTTTTCTTGTAAGTTAAATAATGATCCCCTGGTGGCTATGATGAGCCTAAGTATGACTGGCAGGCAGCTGGAAAGTATATAAATAATTTTAAGTGATACATTTTCTGTGATGTCAAGGTGAGTCCAACACAATTAAACCCTCCTAGCAAAACTGCAAATTCATGCTCATTAGAGCAATGAGCCTTAATTATGGTTCTCTTTCACTAGGGAAACATCAGACATTTTAAAACATTCTTTCTCAAGCAGGTCCTAAATCCTCTCCTATGATAATGGCACATTGTAGAGAAGGCAGCATAATGTGATTTCATACATTAGGATCTTAATTGCAGAATATTGTTACATTAAGAAAAACATTGTTTGGTGGCTACAGAACTCTATGTGGGCCAGCGCCGTGGCTCAATAGGCTAATCTTCCGCCTTACGACGCCAGCACACCGGGTTCTAGTCCCGGTCGGGGCGCCGGAGTCTGTCCCGGTTGCCCCTCTTCCAGGCCAGCTCTCTGCTATGGCCAGGTAGTGCAGTGGAGGATGGCCCAGGTGCTTGGGCCCTGCACCCCATGGGAGACCAGGAAAAGCACCTGGCTCCTGGCTCCTGCCATCGGATCAGCGCGGTGCACCGGCAGCAGCGCGCCGGCCGCGGCGGCCATTGGAGGGTGAACCAACGGCAAAGGAAGACCTTTCTCTCTGTCTCTCTCTGTCTCTCTCTCTCTCTCTCACTGTCCACTCTGCCTGTCAAAAAAAAAAAAAAAAAAAAGAAAGAAAGAAAGAAAGAAAGAAAGAAAGAAAAGAAGTCTATGTGAACCCTCTATCCAGAGTTCTCACTGGCCTCACCCGAGGAAATGCAGGGTGACACTCTGTAAATGCAGCAGCTCCCGGCCTCGAATGTGGCATTCAGGAAGGCACTGAAGCAGCCCAGGGTGCGGGAGGCGAGGAAAGAGCGCTAATGGTCGCTGAACCTCTGTCTGGTGGGCATCATTTAGCCTCCCACCTGGGCACTGGGAAGGGCATCAACCTGGTTTTGCAGATGAGAGAACAGTCTCTGAGAAATTCAGTGAGCTGTTCAGGGTCACCTTGCTGGTTGGTGGCGAGACAGAATTCAGTTCAGGTTGTGCCTGGCTCAGTCCCAAGGACAGTGTGAAGCACACAGGGATGTAAGGTAGCAGGGTATTTAGGAGAAAAATGCTGCTAGCAGAACAGTAGGAGAAGGAATAAACCTCATTTTTAGAGCAGGTCTCTGCTAGTAGCAATCGTGTAGCCTTCAAAGTGTTAGAGGTTAGTTAGGATATGGTTTAGCTAGGGTTGAAATTAAGGTTAAAGAGAAAGAAAGACATGGATAATGTAAGAGAGAAAAGACAGATTTGTTGACCGGATTTACTTGAAAACACAGAGAAAGTTTTAATTAATTTGAGTGTAGCTCATGGCAGAAAAGGAGTACTAAAAGATCTCCTGGCACGCAAGTATTTGTCCACTCTGAAAATTTTCCCTGTCTCATCTGTCTTGTTATTATGTGGGTGTCCAGATGCCCTTGGAAATCACCCGTAGCTTTATCCAGAACCGAGATGGGACCTACGAGCTGTTCAAATGCCCCAAAGTGGAAGTAGAGAGCATAGCAGAAACCTACGGGCGCATCGAGAAGCAGCCGGTGCTGCGGCCCTTGGAACTGAAGACTTTTCTCAAAGTTGGTAAGTGAATTGCAACAGTCAGCTGAGTACATGACACTGTCGGAGGCTTTGCTTCTTGACCTTAAATAAGGAAGATGACACATTCATTCATCTAGCACAGGCAGTCGTGGGATAAGGTGTGTGTTCTGTTTGAACTAGTGCTTCCAAAATAACATTACAGAGGTAGTATATATTCTCTATAGAGAAATCATAGACTTTATGGAGCATAAAGAACAAAAATAAAAACCACCTTTAGGGGACCAGCGCTGTGGCATAGCAGTAAAGCTGCTGCCTGCAGTGCCAGCATCCCATATGGGTGCTGGTTCAAGACCTGGCTGCTCTACTTCCGATCCAGCTCTCTGCTATGGCCTGGGAAAGCAGTGAAAGATGGCCCAAGTCCATAGGCCCCTGCACCCACGTGGGAGACCCAAAAGACTCCTGGCTCCTGGCTTCGGATGGGCCCAACTCCAACTGTTACGGCCATTTGGGGAGTGAACCAACAGATGGAAGATCTCTCTCTGCCTCTGCCTCTGCCTCTGCCTCTGCCTCTCTGTAACTCTGCCTTTCAAATAAATAAATCTTTTTTTTTTAAGATCTTATTTATTTATTTGAGAGGCAGAGTTATTGCCGCGGCGGCCATTGGAGGGTGAACCAACGGCAAAGGAAGACCTTTCTCTCTGTCTCTCTCTCTCACTGTCCACTCTGCCTGTCAAAAAAAAAAAAAAAAAAAAAATTAGTTTGGATTTTGGGACCAGCATCTTGATGCAGCAAGTTAAGCTGCTGCTTGTGATGCTGGCATCCCGTATCAGAGTGCCAATTTGAGTCGCAGCTGCTCCACTTCCAGTCCAGCTTCTGGCTAAGGTGCCTGGGAAGGCAGCAGGAGATGGCCCAAGTACATGGGCCTCTGCCACTCAGGTGGGAGTCCCAGATTGAGTTTCTGGCTCTTGGCTTCAGCCTGGATTTTGGGGAGTGAGTGAGCAGGTGAAGGAATTCTGCCTTTATCACTCCCTCTCTCTGTGTCACTCTACCTTTCAAATAATATTATCGTGTTAGAGTGTAATTTACATCTCTTGGAAATTGATCCTATAAGTTTGCATATTAGAAAAATCCTGAAATACAAATACTTGTTGAACTTTCTTTAAGATTTCCCAGATATATTTCACCAGTGAGTACTTCCCAGGAGAATGTCGTTAGCATTTCATGGCATGTTTTCCTAGGGAAAGTTGCTCTCTATACCACTATTAAATAGTGAGCTGTTGTTTATGGATTCCAGATAAATTTTATTATTTTAAGGACATATGGCCTTGGTTTATTGAGTATTTTTGTTAGGAACTGCTATTTAAAGGAGCTGATGTTTCTTTACCCATTTTGAGGTATAGTTTGTTTTAAAGATTTATTTATTTGGGGCCAGCGCTGTGGCACAATGTGTTAATGCCCTGGCCTGCAGTGCCGGCATCCCATATGGGCACCGGTTTGAGACCCATCTGCTCCACTTCCCATCCAGCTCTCTGCTATGGCCTAGGAGAGCAGTGGAGGATGGCCCAAGTCCTTGGGCCCCTGCACCCACATGGGAGACCAGAAGGGGCTCCTGGTTTTGGATCAGTGCAACTCCGGCCGTTGCAGCCAGTTGGGGAGTGAACCATCGGATGGAAGACCTCTCTCTTTCTCTGCCTCTCCTCTCTGTGTAACTCTTTCAAATAAATAAATAAATCTTTAAAAAAAAATTTATTTGAAAGGCACAGAGAGAGAGAGATGTCTTCTATCCACTGTGGTTCACTCCCCAAATTGCTGTCAACCTAGGCTAAGCCAGGAGCCCAGAACCCCATTAGCAGGGAGCTTGACTGGAAGCAAGGCAGCTCAAACTCAAAGCAGGACTCTGATATGGGATGCCCATGTCACAATGTCACAAGCAGTGGCTTAGACCACTACCCACAATGAATTTTACTAATAGCTTTCTAATATCAAACTAATCTTACATTTCTGGACCAAATCCTGCTTGGTCTATTTTTTTTTCTTCTACTATACACACAGACCTTATTTGTTGGTTTCTTTGAGGAATTGTTATTCTCTTCATGAGTGATAATTGCCTACCATTTCATTTTTGGAGGCTTTTGAAGGGGGCAGGTATAGAGAAAATTATTTAGGAAAGCTTTGTATCAAATTAAATAGCTAAGTTATGTGCATTTTTATAAACTTTTGTATAGATGATAATCACATGATTTTTTTTAAAATTGTATTTATTTATTTATTTGAGAGACAGAGATCTCCCATCTGCTGATTCACTTCCCAAATGCCTGAAGAGCTGGGACTGGCTAGGGCCAAAGCCAGGAGCCAAGAACTCAATCCAGGTCTCCATTCGGGTGGGAGAGCCCCAATTACTTGAGCCATAAGTTGTTACCTCCCAGAGTGTGCATTAGCAAGAAGATGGAATCAGGAGCAGAACTGGGACTTGAACCCAGGAACTCTTGATATGGGATGTGGAGATCCCATAGGGCATCATAACAACTAAGTCAAATGCCCACCCCAATCACATAACTTTTTTTTTTTTTTTTGGATAGGCAGAGTGGACAGTGAGAGAGACAGAGAGAAAAGTCTTCCTTTTTCTGTTGGTTCAATCCCAAGTGGCCGCTGAGGCTGGCACGCTGCAGCTGGCACACCGCGTGATCCGTAGCCAGGAGCCAGGTGCTTCTCCTGGTCTCCCATGCGGGTGCAGGGCCCAAGCACTTGGGCCATCCTCCACTGCACTCTGGACTCTGGGCCACAGCAGAGAGCTGGACTGGAAGAGGAGCAACAGGGACAGAATCCAGCCCCCCAACCAGGACTAGAACCCGGGGTGCCGGCGCCACAGGCAGAGAATTAGCCTATTGAGCCGCAGCACTGGCCCAATCACATAACTTTTTTTTTTTTTTTTTTGACAGGCAGAGTGGACAGTGAGAGAGAGAGAGAGAGACAGAGAGAAAGGTCTTCCTTTGCCGTTGGTTCACCCTCCAATGGCCGCCGCGCCCGGCGCGCTGCGGCTGGCGCACCGCGCTGATCCGATGGCAGGAGCCAGGTGCTTCTCCTGGTCTCCCACGTGGGTGCAGGGCCCAAGTACTTGGGCCATCCTCCACTGCATTCCCTGGCCACAGCAGAGAGCTGGACTGGAAGAGGGGCAACCAGGACAGAATCTGGCGCCCCGACTGGGACTAGAACCTGGTGTGCCGGCGCTGCAAGGCGGAGGATTAGCCTAGTGAGCCGCGGCGCCGGCCCCAATCACATAACTTAAAATCTGTTCTAAATCTGTAGTTGTTCACTCTCTGAAAATTTGTCTGTTTTATGGCCTTTTTCAAACTGAAGAATTGGCTCTTTATCAATTATTTTAAACTATTTTCTGTTTTTGTCTAATAATGTGTTCTGGCTCTTTTTAAATTTTCCTGTTTTATTAGTACTACTTTATTTTTATACCTTTTAATATGAGATACACAGTTGACTTTTTTTTCTTTAAGATTTATTTAAATTGAAGGAGACAGAGAGAAAAGTCTTCTATTTACTAGTTCACTCCCCAAATGGCTGCCAACAACCAGGGCTGGGCCAGGCTGAAGCCAGGAGCCAGGAACTTCTTCTGAGTCTTTCCATGTAGGTTCAGGGGCCCAAGAACTTGGGCCATCCTCTGCTGCTTTCCTAGGTGCATTAGCAGGGAGCTAGATGGGAAGTGGAGCAGCCAGGACTGAACTGGCGCCCATAGGGGATGCCAGCACTGCAGGAGGCAGCTTTACCTTCTATGCCACAACGCCAGCCACATCAAAAGCATTTTTTTAAAGCTGAGTTTCTCGTGTTTAAATCTTTGGTTTTCTAGAATTTATTCTGATATAAGTTATGAGGTAAGAGTCCACTACCTGAGGCAGCATTGTGATAGAGTGTGTTAAATGCAGCATCCCGTATCAGAGTATCTGATTGAGTCCCAGCTGCTCTTCTTCCAATCTAGTTTCCTGCTAATACACCTAGGAGGCAGTAGGTGACGACTCACATAACTGGGTCCTTTCCACCATGTAGGGGACCTGCATGGTTCCAGGCTCCTGACTTGGACCTGGCCCAGCCATAGCTGTTGTGGGCAGTTGGGAAGTGAACCAGTGGATAAGTCTCTCTCTCTCTGTCGCTCTGTCATTCAAATAAATGAATAAACATTGTGATTGTGTGTGTGTGTGTGTGTGTCTGTCTGTCTGGGTATTCAATACCTCTAATTTTCTTCCAGAAATATTTGGTTGCTACATATCATTTATTATAAAAGTAACCCACTTGTTTGTATTTCTTTTAATAAATGGAAATGCTGCCTTCACTTTCTAAATTCCTGCTCTATGTCTGTAGCTTTCCTTCTATTATTCTTTTAAGCTGTCTAGACATCTATGCCAGTACCACACTGTTCTGGTGATTGCAGATTTTAACATGTTTTAGAACTATGCTGATTTGAATTCTGTTGCTTTGTGGTTTCCTGCAAACTTGACTTTCTCATGGTAAATCTTTTCTGCTCAGTCTGGGCTCACGTTAGTTTTTTTTGTTTGTTTGTTTTTAAGATTTATTTATTGGGGCTGGCGCTGTGGCATAGCAGGTAAATCCGTCACCTACAGTGCTGGCACCCCATATGGGCGCCGGTTCATGTCCCAGATGTTCCACTTCCGATCCAGCTCTCTGCTATGGCCTGGGAAAGCAGTGGAAGATGGCCTAAGTCCTTGGGCCCCGGCACCCACATGGGAGACCCGGAAGAAGCCCCTGGCTCCTGGCTTTGGATTGGTGCAGCTCTGGCTGTTGCAGCCAATTGGGGAGTGAACCAGCAGATGGAAGACCTCTCTCTGCCTCTGTGTCTCTGTAACTCAGCATGTAGTAGTAAGAGGAAAAGGACTACAATATACATTTGTATTTAGGGTCATCTTCCTTTATCCTTGTTTGCTTACATTTACACAATCTTTAAAGTTTTGATGTTTACTGTTTTTCATGAAAGACTTAATTTTTAAAAATTTTATTTATCTGGGGCCATTGCTGTGGCGCAATAGGTTAATCCTCCGCCTGCAATGCCAGCATCCCATATGGGCACCAATTCTAGTCCCAACTGCTCCACATCTGATCTGTCTCTCTACTATGGCCTGAGAGAGCAGTGGAAGATGCCCCAGTGCTTGGGCCCTGCACCCCCATGGAAGACCCAGAAGTTGTTCCTGGCTCCTGGCTTCAGATTGGCTCAGCTCTAGCCATTGCAGCCATTTTGGGAGGGAACCATAGGGTGGAAGACCTTTCTCTCTGTCTCTCCATCTCACTGTCTGTAGCTCTGTCAAATAAATAAATAAAATCTTTTTAAAAAATAAAAAAGGGGGCCGGCTCTGTGGTGTAGCTGGTGAAGCCACTGCCTGCAGTGCCAGCATCCCATGTGGGCACCAGTTCAAGTCCTGGCCACTCCACTTCTGATCTAGCTCTCTGCTATGGCCTGGGAAAGCAGTAGAGGATGGCCCAAGTCCATAGGCCTCTGCACCCATGTGGGAGACCCAGAAGAAGCTCCTGGATCCTGGCTCGGACTGGTGCAACTCTGGCCATTGTGGCCATTTGGCCGTTTGGGGAGTGAACCAGCGGATGAAAGTCTCTCTCTCTCTCTCTCTCTCTCTCTCTGCCTCTGCCTCTCTGTAACTGCCTTTCAAATAAATAAATAAATCTTTTTTAAAAATGAATTAAATAAATAAAATTTTATTTATCTGATAGGCAGAAAGACAGAGAGATAGGCAAAGCTCCCATCCACTAGTTCACCCCCAAATGTTTGCAACAACAAAAGCTGGGAACTGAATCTGGGTCTCTCATATGGGCATCAGGGACTCCCACTTGAGTCATCACTGTGCCTCAGAGTGTGCATCAGCAGGGAGCTGGAATCAAGACCAGAGCCAGGACACAAACGAGTGAACTCCAATATGTAGGCATCCAGGTAGCATCTTTGCCACTATGCCAAACACCCACCCCACCTTCATTCTAAGTGGCAGGCAGAAGTCATTGAAGCTGAATGCTTTGGTTTCATATCTGCCATCTGACTGTCACTGCAGCCTGTGGCATCAGTAAGAAAGACCTAAAATGATCAAATATATATGTTTTAACTTCATAATGATCAGCAAATGTGATACACCCATCAACACGGAATACATAAACCCTATCAGCAGTCTTCTATTATCGGAGCTGAGGGGACTGGGCTCCAATTCAGCAAACTTTTTACTTCCAGGAATGCCAATTAGAATCAGGTGGAACAGTACTAATAAATGTTCCTTTGTGTTGGTTTGTAGGCAACACTTCCCCAGATCAAAAGGAGCCAACACCTTTCATCATCGAGTGGATCCCAGATATCCTTCCGCAGTCCAAGATTGGCGAGCTGCGGATCAAGTTTGAGTACGGTCACCACCGGAATGGGCATGTGGCGGAGTACCAAGACCAGAGGCCCCCCCTTGAGCAGCCCCTGGAACTGGCCCCTCTGACCACTATTACTTTCCCGTGAAGCCCAACAGGAGTCTTTTGCTGCTAAGTTTGCACATCCCCACCCCTCGCCCACTTTAAATACTGGTTAGCTCCCTTAGGTGGCCCATTCCTCAGCAAACGGCTCTCAGCCGAGAAGCAGCTGCTCAGAACATTCAGGTGGGTTCTGCGGAAGGGAAATTCTTGTAAACAGCCTCTTCAGTGCTGCTGTGTAGTCTTCCTTATACACTGGGCAGTATTTCTGGCTAGAGACCTAAAACAAACAAAAAGAAAATAAGCTCACTTTCCTTCTAGGCACTCACCTTTAGAGTTTGAACTTTTTCTAATTCTCTAAGAAGTCAGCAGCACTCAACCTTCTACCAACAGTGCTGGAAAGTTAGTAACAGCCTGGTTAGGGCAGAGGGATAAGAACCATCCCAGCTGTGTTCCGGCCATGCTCTGTATTTTATTCTCAAATAAAGCACAGTGTCACTAGTTTTTCCAACTCTATCTCATGCTGGCCTTATTTGAAAAGGATGGACCTTTTGGGGAGTTTAACTGATAGCGAAATAGGAAAGACATTAGGTATCAGGGGACAACTGACCTTCAGACTAATGCTTATTCACTTGATATTGATTTCCTCCTTTATTCTTCAGAAAGATGAAGAGCTGGTAAAGTTCACGCCCTGTGACTTCCTTGGTCACAGGATGAAGGTGTACTGAAAGACACAGGCGTGGGAGCCTGTCTTCACGGAGGAGAGACGGAACAAACATTCCCTGTGCCTGCCACGTGCCAGGCCCTCTCCTTTACATTCTCACCTCGTCATGTAGCCTCTATTATTCTTAGAGTTTAGGCATTCTTCTTTCATAACACTAAAGAAATGGCTTCTCTACGGTTACCTATCTTGCTGGAAACAGCATTAAAAATAATATTTAGTTTTACTCCAAAGTGCATATTCTTTCCACTCGATCATGTTGCTTTGATATAAATTACTTGTAATTAATTGTCCTTGGAAAGATGGAAAATTCCACATGAAGTAGGCTTTTTCTTTTTGTTGTGAGTAATATAAGCCCAACTCTAACCAGCTTATGCAAAAATGAGTTCATGGACACTAAGATAGGGCTGGACAAGCACACTGGGGTGGAGCTGGTATGGCTAGACCTCAGGAGTCGGGGAGCCATGGTACATCTGACCCGATTCTGGCTCTCTCTGGACTTCATTTCTCTCTCAGCATAGAGAAGCTTCTTCTGGTAGGAATTCTGGTATCTAAAGTGCTCGAAAGTTTGGCTTCCACACTAGAGCAGGACTGACCATTCCATTTACTCTCTGACCCAAAGGGCAAAAAAACCAAGAAAAGCTCTGATTAGCCTAACTCTGGGGAGAGGAAAGGGTTTTTGGTAAGGGCAGCAGTGCTCCTAAAAGCAAGATGGGAGGCAGATTAAGTGGTGTCTACCCTGTGTGACTGAGGGGCTGGCTTCTGTGGATGGCTCCTAAGTGCTTCAGACAAAGGGGAGATCATTGAGGTGAATCCAGGGAGATGCACAGAGACTTAGAGCTTGCACTGGGGTTTAAAAGAGAGGAAGGGGGCAGTGCTGTGGTTCAATGGGTTAAAGTCCCAGCCTGCAGGGCTGGCATCCCATTGTGCACCGGTTTGAGTCCCGACTGCTCTGCTTCCAATCCAGCTCTCTGCTATGGCCTGGGAAAGCATTAGAAGATGGCCCAAGTGCTTGGGCCCCTGCACCCACCTGGGAGACACACAAGAAGTTCCTGGTTCCTGGCTCCGGGTCAGCTCGGCTGTGGTCACTTGGAGTGAACCTGCAGATGGAAGACCTCTCTCTCTCTCTCGTTCGACCTCTCTCTGTAACTCTCTAAAATAAATAAAATAACTCTTTAAAGAAAAAAAAGAAGAAAAATTTAAAGTTTAGCTAGGTATGGAGAAGAGGAGAAATTAAAACTAGGAGAAGTAGGAGGTAGGTGTTTGGCTGAGAGGTGAAACTCTGCCAGGTGGAACACCACATCCCATATCAAGTGCTTGGGTCTGAGGCTTGTTACTGCCTTTTTTTTTTTTTTTTTTTTTTTTTGACAGGCAGAATGGACAGTGAGAGAGAGGGACAGAGAGAAAGGTCTTCCTTTTGCCGTTGGGTCACCCTCCAATGGCCCCGCGGCTGGTGCGCTGTGGCCGGCGCACTGCGCTGATCCAGCAGGAGCCAGGTGCTTCTCCTGGTCTCCCATGGGGTGCAGGGCCCAAGCACTTGGGCCATCCTCCACTGCACTCCCTGGCCACAGCAGAGAGCTGGCCTGGAAGAGGGGCAACCGGGACAGAATCCAGTGCCCCAACCGGGACTAGAACCCGGTGTGCCGGCGCCGCAAGGTGGAGGATTAGCCTATTGAGCCACGGCACCGGCCATTGTCATGCTCTTGACACTTATCTGGGAGACCTGGATAGAATCCCTGGTTCCTGGCTTTGGCCTAGCCCTGGCTGCTGCAGACATCTGAAGAGTGAACCAGTAGATGGGAGCTCTCTCTTTGTATCTCTGTTTCTTCAAATAAACAAATATTTTCAAAAAGTAAAATTACAGGAGATGCACCTGAAGGGTAAGACTGTTCATGTTAGGAGCAAGTACCTGGGTCTAGTAACACCTGAGCCACACGACATGTGCTGGGGCAGATGATCCACCCAGAGAGGCCTCAAGCGCCAATGTCTTCACCTGGAGCACCCCAGCACAGACTCACACACGGCCCATACCGACCATCCCAGACCTGCACTGGGCTCTAAGTCACACTGGTTTGTTTTTTTTTTGTTTTTTTTTTTTTTTTAATTTGACAGACAGTGAGAGAGAGAGACAAAGGTCCTCCCTTCACTGGTTCACTCTCCAAATGGCTGCCACGGCCGGAGCTAACACTGATCCGAAGCCAGGAGCCAGGTGCTTCCTCCTGGTCTCCCACACAAGTAGAGGCGCCCAAGCACTTGGGCCATCCTCCACTGCCCTCCCAGGTCACAGCAGAGAGCTGGACTGGAAGAGGAGCAACCAGGACTAGAACCGGTGCCCACATGGGATGCTGGCACCGCAGGCGGAGGATTAACCAAGTGAGCCACAGTGCCGGCCCCTACTGGTTTGTTTTTCTAACAGTTTCACTCTCATCCTTGGTTGATAATTGTACTTATTTATGGAGTACAGAATGAGGTTTCAATACATTTATAGATTAGGTAATGATGAAATTGGGGTAATTAGCATAAGAAATCACCTCTAACATTTATCTTTGTGGTGATATCTTTGTAGCACCACCCTATCCGTCAGGTCAAGCATGGACCTAGGAGGACCCATGGAGCACTACATCCACTCCCAGAGTGGTCCTAGATACTCCCACCAGAACAGCACACTTCACTCTGCACCCACTGGCCTCCCTACACATACACATTCTCTTTACTATGCCTTGCACACCTTTGCCATCAGCCAATGGGATTTTCAGCCCAGCCCCTGCCTCTCCCAGCTGCTGGAGGGGAACAGTTCAAAGCCCGCTGTATCTAGACAGCTCTCCACGTACACCAGGGATCATCCTCAGACTGTGTTAACGGGCCTGAGTGCAACGGCTTAATTCCTCCTACTCGAGGCCAACAGGCTGGGCTGTCTCACATCATGGCTAGCATGAGAACAGCTACTCGCTTCTCCTCCATCCAGAACACTTTGGTTCTGACTATTGTGTCCCTGTCTCTACCGGGACTGCTGTCATCTCAACAGCTTGCTAATATTTCAAGGCTGGAGGGGGGTCTCCAGAAACTCTGACTCCAAGAACCACCCACCCAAAAGATGGCCTGCCACCTGGCTCGCTCAGGGTACCAGATGTCATTAGGTCTGGGACCTCTGGGGCTCAGCAATTTCCAAACCCGTAATTCACCTCATCTTGTACTGTTTGCTGTTGTGGATGGCTGTCAATTCCCAGCTGTTCTATCCAGCCCATCTCGGCTAACACATACACACGTGCTGACACTCCAAACTCCAGCTACAGTGCAACTGTGTCTGTCATCCAAAGCCAGCGCCTATCTCTGGTTCGCCCATGTCAGAAAGAGCCCAGACTACACCCTGCTTTAGAAAAACCCAACAAATCCCACTCTACACTGCTGAAATTGACGGGATGGCACAGGGCTGCCCTCTCCATGGAAGCCCTTTGAATTAACTGGTCCCCAGCCCCTCAAGCATAAACCACAGCAACACAGAAAAGTTAGCCACAGGGAGCTGTGATTCCCAAGGATGGATGTGCTCACCTCCTCAAACTTTTTATTTTAATCTCCCAGATTGTGATGATCTGGCTTTTCTCCTTTGTAATGATGCTATTTTCTGGCGTCACTTACTTATCTCTAAAAATCTTACTAACCTTGCTCTGTCTGCCTGTCCTCTCATCATGCATGAAGTGTACTTCATCCACGTCATTCTACCATCCCATCTACAACAGCCCTGAATCTAGGTAAAACGCATACGCTCATCCAGAAGTTCTGGGAAGCAGAGGGGGAGGGGGAGAGGATCCAAGACGCTGCATGTCTATCACCTGTCCAGGTGACTTGGAAAGTACTGCACTGCAGGGATGCAGCTGGGTGCCCACTGACTAAGCAGCCACGTCTAATGCCGCACCTGGGAGGCAATCCCTCCTACCCCCTTCACTGCCACGGACAGGAAATGCTGGAGGCCTGTGGCACTTAGCTGGTGCAAGCTGCTTTATGGCACTCCCACGACGTTGTTCCAACAGATGTGGCACCAGCCTTGTTCCTCGGGGGTTTAAAGCTGTTCCAATTCTACCTTTCCAGAAGTAGGAAGTGGGTCCTGTAACCCTCCTAAGTGTCCTGCAGCCTTTCTCCTTCTCCTTGCACCACTTCTGCCCCCCCTGCCCTCTCCCACCCCGGTACTAAAAGTTCACATCTGAGGGCTTGGGTCTGAAGGCCAGTTCTGCCACCCTCTATTGCCATGCGACCTTGTGCAGTAAGTTAGCTCTCTCAGTCCTGTTTCCTCCTCTGGAAATTTACCTGATAAGTAAATGAGATACTAGGGTGAGCAAATCGCTCATTTTGCCTATTGTTTTAAGTCCCCTGTTCCGCTAACTTGGCCTTAAGGCTCCAGTGGCGTTTTCTGTCCCTTCTTAGGCTTTTATGTACTTCACGCCTGTCATACAGTAACACTATAATTCTGTTTCCTGAAACAAAAAAGCAGGAATATGAAGGTTGAACATGGCTGGGGATGCTAACATTTTCTTCCTATCTTTCCCTTTTATCCCCCGAATTTTCTAGAACGAACATTACTTGGAAAAGTTAACGCAAAGTCAAAGAACACCGCCTTATTAAAATTAGGCTCCCGTGCTCCCCACTAACAGGAGATAGATACGGCGGGCGGGGGAGCTCAGGCCACGCAACCGCCACCCCCGCGCCTCTGCGCGATGACGTCAGGCACGTACTCCTCTCGCCCGCGCCGTCGCTTCCGGCCTGTCTGGCCGCTTTGCTTCCACCAGGCGGCGCCG